GCCATAAAGTCAATATGAAAAGCTACGCAGCATGGCTCTCAAAATGTCTGGAGGTAATATAACGTTTCATCATTTAAGTTAATGTGATAAAATGTACAAAACTACTCATGAGGTTAATTAACAATAAGCACTTTTATTTTATTTGGGTTTTTACAAGCCTCTTTTTACTTTTCTTCACTCACACCCTCCTCCAGTACCTTTCTGTAGCCGTCGTACTCGTCCCTCCCACCACTCCCATTTTCCCATGAACTCTGTTTTCTTCTTTATATCAGTCCCTTTATCAGCCATCTCCTGCCCTCTGCATTTTTATCTCATCTTTGCTTTTTGCTTCTTTTCTCTTTCTTTTCCCATTATCTCTTCTTCACCCCGACTCCACCCCACCCTCAATTCATCAAGCTCCATATCGCTCCTTAAAGAACCATTGGGCTGCTAATCTTGATCCTCCTTTACAGGGGCTCATATTTGATTCCATTTCTATAATTGAACGGAGGTCTCGTCCCTTCAGGCTCATGGTTGACTGACAGTTTTCCATTTTCCAAGTGGTATTCAAAGATTCACCTATGAAATGATTGGAAACCTGTACACACAGGCACCCATGATTCCAGGAGGCAAAATGCCATTACCTTGAGTTCAGTGATGGGAAATTGACACACAAGCTATGAAAAATGCATGTGACGGGGAATAACAGAGACAAAAAGAAAATGTGCAAGTGGCAATCTCGAGGGCTGAAACACAAAACGGCAGAAATGACAAACACTGTTTTTGCTAAAGTGGACACACAGCTGGCCCTAAAAGCAAATCAGTCAGCATAACCTTGATATTAAAATACATGGAGGTTAATCGATCTAATCTAAATCTGATCACTTCAAACACCAAGATGCTGAGTAGTCCACAAACTAGTAGTTGCATCCAAGCTAGAGATCGGAAATAAATGTCAGCAAAAGAAATCTGAATAGCTAAATTATTCTCCTCTGATACATGCTCTGGTGTTTTCACTAACTGGAAATGGAACTAGGTCTTAAGCACTACTTTCCCAGCATCCTCCCATAACAGCCTTTCCTCTTGTTCTTTAATTGCTTCTGCCATTTTAATGGCCGATGATCCAGTTGAGAAGGCCCTCACCTGTCAATCAATAGCCATCTCCACTGTCCCTCTGTGCATCTCTATAAGGTCACTTTATTGAGTTCTAACAGCAAACAAGGCAAAAACCTACCAAGAAAGATCCCTGGATGCAGGCCTGCAACTCAGCCTGAGTACAAATGACCAATTATGTCCCACTTCTATTGAACAAATGCTCTGCTGTAGTTAATGACTGTCCTACATCCAAGAAGATTCTCTTGTTCTTACATGCTGGCTAATAAGTCAATTTTTCAAATGCAGTAAGCACAGTAAATCCTAGGTAATTAGGGCTAGTTTTATTATTATCATTTTTTTTAGACTTGCACATAAGTGGACAGAAATCAACAGAACATCTAAAAGCATCAACATTTAGTTATTTGTCTTGTGTGTCTTTCTTTCTTTTGCCTTTTTGTCCATGCAAACGCGCAGCTACGTTAAGCGCTGATTTTAAAGCAGATTATACCCTCCTTTGTTTTTTCTTGTATTTTTTTTAGCTGATTGTTGTAGCCGCACTCCACATGCACATTCATTTTAATGAGGACACTTGAGACGCATCCATGTTGCAAGTGCCAGTTATATGCTAAGATGCCGGCTTTAATATACTGTGATGTAGAATACATTTAATAAGAACCTAATAATAATCATACAATTATGTTTTCATATAACAAATGAAATGACCACAGTAGATATTCAGTCTTACTCAAGTACTCAAGATATTGAAATGTCAACCGTCTAGCATCACTAAGGAAAAAGTCATTTGGCTTCTTTTGGATACCATGAATAAATCATGATCAAAATTTGATTGAAATCCATCCATTAGCTGCTGAGGTATTTCAGATTTCATAATCTCTTGGATTTTATAATGAGGCACACGTAATTTGCATCGCCAGCTTTAGTCATGCACTACAATTACCAACCCTTAGTCACTTTGGGAGATAGTACCGTTTTTCCGATAGTAGATAGTAGCTAATAGAAAGCACAGGTGTTGATTGCGTCTCAGTGATGCATGGAACATGGTGTTATTTTGAAGGGGAAAGCAGTCTAACACCATTGCACAGTTACAAAGAGTTTCTGGAGTGGGAAAAAATAAACCTCACAGACAGAAAACTCCATTTAAACCCAGACTAATGGATGTTTTTTGTTTAGGATGGCAGCACTGTGACAGCAGAATCCACCCACTTATAGTGAATACTAAAAAAAGGTCTTCAAATTTGGGTAAACCATTGGAAATTTGAGAACGTTTTAGAGACTTCAAGAACTAAAAATTGGCAGTAGACGACCTAATTGCCTAACAAAAAGCAGATTGATATACTGGTCTAAACCTAATAAGGTTTTTATGTTGCTGGCACTGTGGGACTTCACGAAGCAGTTCTCGGTTTTTCCCCCTGATGTATAATGTGTGCGAGTCTCTGCAGGACACTGCTTTTCTCATGCAGAGGCATGCTGAACGCACGCTGCGTAACAGTGGCATTTTTCCGTTTCCACTCACGTACACGGCTGGATGCGTGTACCATCGAGCTGACTACTGCCGGATTGATTCACCTGTCGCCTGAGCAAGTTTGATCCCCAGCGGCAGTCTCACAGCGACGCAGCTAGTGAGGCTGTGGTCTCCCACCACTCCCACCCTTACCTACAAACCCCCACGCCTGCGCTCGCTATCCGCTCGCAGGCCCGCGTTAGTTATTTCTCTTCAGCATTCGCACAGCGATAAACTAGATTTATAGTTACAGCGGCAAAGCAAACTCACTGAGTGTGTTAACTTTATCTTCAAGGACGTAGCGGCAACAAGGGACTGAAGAGTAATGACTCAACTGTGAAAGTGAATCTGACACAAAAAAAAAAAAGGTCACATTTCGCAGTGATAAGAGAGACTGTAGCTTGGTGACACTGACTGACAGAGAGAGGAATAAATGTGAGCCATTAACGCTGACTGCTCCAAGGCTGAAGAAACACACACGGATGCACACACACAGATATAGAAGATGCAACAGATAGAGGAGTCTGTAAGTCAGGAAACAGACACATTCTATGTTTTGTATGACTTTTTGTTCATACTTTTGACAAACAATTCAACACAATGGACTCTAGAGTATAGAAGACGTGTTCTCTGGAGAGAGAAATAATACTTCTGCGTCTGGCAAACCGATTGGTTGCCAGGAGAACTGCACCTCTCTGACTGCACTGTGATGATGATTTGGCTGAATTTGGAAAACACTCTGTCAACTTTACTGTTATGTTATGTCACGACATTAATGTGAAAAATTTATACTTTAAAATATAAAATTTGCATGTGGTAGTTCGTTTAAGCTAGCTTTGTAGCAAATACCTTTGCTTTAATGATGAATAATTTCGTGTTCGTTACCTCCCACACAATAAGATTGTTTACTCATCAAGATCAAAAATACATGTAGCTGTCCATACTTTAAACGCTTTCATCCTGGCAGCAGTGGGAGGTGAGCAATTTTCTACAAGATACATAGATGTCACTGAACTGGAGCTTTGGCGAGACGTCGCCATTTTTAGGGATTTAAATTAAGCTGTCGGAGCAAAATACGGATCACAAGTCACCAACATTCGTAGTTTCTCTTCATATCTTTGCTTTTCCTCCATGGATAGATGATCCAACTAGTCTTGTCGTACACTTTTGTCTTGCAGTATCAGCGACTATCTACTATTGTCCATCATGATGCAGTAATGTTTTGCTGGCCTGGTTAGTTAGTCGGTCACATGACTGAAAACTATGGATGGATTAAGAATGGATGTCTCTCAAGTTCATATGTGTGTACACA